TGTTGGCTCATTTTCATCTGGCTGTCCCCCAATACCCCCAGGTCCTTTTCCACCAGGAACTCCCCAGCCACTCCTCCCCAAGCCTGGAGCGTTGCCTGTGGTTGCCGTGACCAATGTACAGGACCCAGCACTTGGCCTTGTTAAACCTCATATGATTGACCCCAGCCCATTGCTCCAGCCTGCCCAAATCCTTCTGTAGAGCATTCCTACCCTTAAGCAGACCAACACTCCCACTTAATTTTGTGTCATCGGAGATTTACTGGGGGTGCATTTGATCCCCTCGTCCAGGTCACTGATAAGGATATTAAACAAGACTGGTCCCAGAAGCGAGCCCTGAGGAACGCTGCTCGTGACTGGTCACCAACCGGATTTAATTCCCTTCACCACAATTCTCTGGGCTCGGCCATCCAGCCAGTTTTTAACCTAGTAAAGACTCCACCTGTCTAGGCCATGAGCCACCAGCTTCTCCAGCAGAATGCTGTGGGAAATGGTGTCACATGCCTTACTGAAGCTCAGGTAGACAACAGCCACCGCTTTTCCCTCATCCACTGGATGGGTCACCTGATCGTAGAAGGAGATCAGGTTGGTTAAACAGGGCTTCACTCCCTTAAACCTCTTCACTCCCTTTCTCTTGCTTTGTTTTCTCCTCCAAGCATCCTCTAATGTCTTGTGCAAAGCTCAAAATGTTCTTTCCCTGCTTTACATACTGTGTCCTGCACCCCCATAGGCAGCAACCTCACAGGCCTGCACAGTGCTCCCGAGAGCCTCTCCTGTTGACTTATGAGTTTCAGATGGATGCTGGGGCTCTTTGCTTCCTTGTGATCAGTCTGGGAGTAATCAGGGCATGATCTTATCAGAATTCCCCCACCCACTGTTGTTCCTCTGGTTTCTGTGTGCTCACTGTCTGTGCCTCCTTCTACCCCATACTGAGAAGACATGACTTATGGCCAAAAATATCAGTTTCGAATAGCATACTGTGAAAACTAGGGTCAGAGTTGTTAAAGCAGAACTACCTGTTGCTACTTGCAGTTTCTCTGTAAAACACCTTGACCTCTGAAGCTATATTCTGAAGTCCTTTTGATACTCTCCTCCAACATGAGCACCATTGCAGAGGCTTATAGAAGTAACATTGCTTTGAGGGGGATCGGTGACATTTTTTTGTGCTAGTAAAAATAACCATAAACCTTCTCAATGTAAATGGTGCTTTGTGAAAGTATTTGTTAAGGAGGAATTAGCCAACAGTAACTGATTGTGCCTCTGGACTCAGCACTGGTGAGACTGCACCTTGAGCACTATGTCCAATTTTGGGCACCACAGGATAAGAGGGACATGGAGGTGCTGGAGCGGGCCCAGAGAATGGCAGTGAGGCTGGTGAGAGGGCTGGAAAACTGCCTTGTGAGGAGCAGCTGAGGGAATGGGGGTTGTTTAGTCTGCAGAAGAGAAGACTGAGAGGAGACCTTATTGCTCTCTACAACTACCTAAAAGGAGGTTGTAGTGAGGCTGGTGTTGGTCGCTTCTCCCGAATTACTGATGGTAGGACAAGAGGAAATGGCCTCAAGTTGCACCAGAGGAGGTTTCGTTTGGTGATTAGGAAGAATTTCTTCACTGAGAGAGTGGTCAGGCACTGGAACAGGCTGCCCAGGGAGGTGGTGGAGTCATCATCCCTGGAGGTGTTCAGAAAATGAGCAGGTGTAGCACTTGAGGCTGTGGTCTAGTGGATAGGGAAATGTTGGGAGGAAGGTTGGACTTGATCCTGGAGGTCCTTTCTAACCACAGTGATTCTATGATGTTCTGTTGGTGAAGGCTGGTGAGGCACCAGATAAATTTCTTGGAGAGGTGGTGGGAGGATTGCATTGTAGGG